TCTGCAAAAAAAAATAGCAAGGTGCGAAGCTTTAAAAACACCCATAGAATTGACGCTTCACGCCAACTCAGGGCATACTCACACGGGGACCCATAATCCAAAAATCCCAAAAAAAAGGGGAAATGGCCGGTCACACGGATCTACCAAATTCGCAAATGTACTATTCCAGTGCCAATTTGTCAGCGGCCTAGGAAGCCGCAGGGCAAGGGATTTTGCGGTCACCTCTGGAGGCAACCGCAAATGCCCTTTTTGTTTTTGCATTTTGTTCAAAAATTGGCAAAAATTCGTTCACAGAAGTTCTTGCACAACTTCTGGATGACCCCCTGTGACCAGCCAAGTACCAAATCCCCATTTCTCCAGACGGTCGCGACCTTGTCCCATTTGAGGGCATACTCAGGGCATACTCACACGAGGACCAAAAGACCCAAAATCCCAAAATTTGAGTCATTTTTGGTTCACACTGGAGAGGCTCGCTACCCAAATGCCTCAAACGGTGACCCTTCTGCCAGCGGCCTGCGGGGCTGCAGGCGTACCCTTTTTTAGACCACCTCCGGAGGTGGTCTCAAATAACCTTTCGTTCGTGATTTAAAAAAAAAAAAAAATCCATCTTTTGGTTTGGTCCTCCCCTGTGTGAGCGGGCGCACTAGCCCTGAATACAAAACGTCAGGGGCACGACTTCGTCCTTTCTGGACGAGGTCTGCCCGTGTGACCACACGGGGACCAAATGCCTAAAAAAAGCGGAACCAAATGCCTCAAATTTTTGAGACTTTTGGTCCCCGTGTGAGTATGCCCTCACACTAGCACGTACTTCCGCAAATTTTACGTATGTGAATTTGTGTGTTTATATGGCACCTGCGGGTCACACTGGTCACCCGTTTGTTGCCCAAAGCAGAAAAGACAGGATCGCGACCTGGCGTGAGTTGCAAAAATACGTTGTCGGCAGTTAGACTGACTCAGACAGCACGATGCACTTTTTTTTTTTTTTTGCTTCTTGAAAGCAGCAGAGGAAAAAGAAATACTATTTTGCGGGGACCTCTGTATGTAAGTCCGCCGCTGTCCAAACCGCTGACATTAACGTGCCCTTTTGTGTGAACACGCAAAATACGTGCCTCTTGTGACCCCAAAACTACATAAAATTTGCGATTTTGCGAAAATACCTGGTAGTGTGAGAGTGCCCTAAAAAGGTAGAGCAGTGTGATGTAAACCACGCCCAACACTTTTTTTTTTTTTTTTTTTAAAACGGGCCCAGTGCCCAAGGCTGATATTACCAATATAATGATTGAGGCCGGGGTCCTCAAAGTTTACCCGGAAGTAACCTAAAGGAACCTGCTGAGAACAAAATATGAGCCTACAAATCTAGCGTAGTGCCTCTTCACCCTTAATGGGCGGCAAATAATCTTGACAACCAAGCACATTACCAGTTATCTCCATTGAGCCTATAACAAATAACTCCCCCTCTTACAACTCTGGAGATGTCTATCCAAACCAAGCAACAGGCAAAAGACAATTACTTGGGGGACGGAAGAAATAAGGACTTCCCACCGTGCTACGACCCTTCGTTTAGAGCAAAACGGTTTCGGCACGCTTCGCGTGTCTCGTCTTCGTATTAAGTCCCGACGTCGTTCACCGGTTAGTTCTGAGTCCGACGTGGAGGGTCTCAGTTACGTGGCTCTTTCTCTTTGTTCGTCTTCACTTCGTACGCGGTAGCGAAAACCCTTGGATTCGTAGCGCTCAAAGCGCTGGCACTCGGTGCATAGAGTGCGAGGCCAGTGGGGTTCTACTGCCATCCACGGGATGACGATCAACTCGTTAAATGGCAACAGTATCGAGTAAGGTGGAAAGTGTGTATCGGTAATGACAAACCAAGCCTCTACGAACCCTCAACAACGATTTCCCTGAGGGAAGTAATAACGTCCGCCAATCCGTGCGACAGCTTCTCGTACGTCCCACTCGCATACACGTGTCCTTTCCTCGTTGTAAGGAAAAGGTCGCGTTGACGCGGGAGATACGGGAGGCTGACGCCGATCGAAGGGTGTTGGTCAGTCCACATGTCAATCAATTGCGAAGATCCCGAGACGTCATCAAGGAAAAATACTCGCACAACCACCAATCAATTCTTTCTGACACGAGAGAGAGAAAACACTCATCAACTGATCATGCATGTAACTGAGGGACCGACCCACGACTCAGGTTTAGTAAGCTACCGCAGCGTTGATCCCAGGCGCCCTGTTTCTCGAGGCCGCCCTAAAGATCGGTTGCAGATGTCGTGCAGCATAAGGCAGATGGCATGCGCAGTGCATTCAGAACTACAGATCTCAACACTCTTGCATTCTCGGATAAAATCCCGTCGAGTGTTACATCTAATCAACACGAAAAGGCAAGCATCTCCATACATACATTCACTGTGGAAGGTGCGAAAATGACAGGGATACACATGTCGGAAATCAACCAAGGGAATTGTACACACGCATCCACCATTCACAAGACAAGATGATCAATTCCTCGACATCAGAGGATTATCCAGGAAACTAATGGAAGAGTTCCGAAAGAAGTTCCTTCACACGAGAGAGCACACAAATTCATTCTCATTCCTGAGAGGGACAAGCATCAAGACACATCGTCATTCAAAGATAAAAGAGAGAGAGAGAGAGAGAGAGAGAGAGAGAGAGAGAGAGAGAGAGAGAGAGAGAGAGAGAGAGAGGCGAGGGAAGAATGTCGAGATAGGAGATGACAAGATCCGAAAAGAGGAAGTTCGGCGTTGCCGCCGTACACTCACGCCAGAGATAAAGATCCGCAATCAATAAAGGCGCATTCGCCGTGAATTCTAATATCGCCCCGGGCCAATCACCCACTCAACTCCAATCATCGATCCTCATACCCGCACCGACAATCCCTGCCGTTGCGTGCTAACTCCCACCACTGCGATCGTCACCCCGCCGACGTAAACTCGACGCGGTTCGCCCGGATCCCACAGTTCGTCGTAGGGATCAAGCGCGCAACCGGCCAGCCTATCGTCRGCCCGTCAGGACTTTCCGATTCGCACAAACACTCTACCTATCCACTGCTTCCCAGAAGCTGGCTTGGGAGTCGAGAACGTAAGAGAGATTTGCGGGCGCGTTTGCAGAATTTATAGTGGCGAGAAGGGGGACGGGGGAGAGAGAAGGCAAGGGGAAAATCGAGGTGTAAGAAAAGAAGCAGGAAGAGAAGATTTGGCGAGGAGCGCACTACTGAAGCCATGTTGATCCTTCCAAGCCCAATGGTCGACCAATCAGATTCGTCGCGTAGCAGGAAGTTCCTCCTACTCAACACGTCTGATTGGTGAGCCGGGGTGATCGGAGGATTAGCCGGGCTTCGTGAGCCAATGTCGATGAGCGGGAAGAAACGAGGCGCGAAAAGCAGCGCGAGACGGGTCCAAGATTCAGATGATCAAGAAAGGGAAATGGGCGCGCAATTGATCAGAGCGGGAGAGGGAGAGGGAAAACAGTTGCAAGAGGGGA